ATTAATAGGGGTCATTAATAAACGATTTCATATACATTAAACTTAGTCGTTAATACGAGGTCGACGGAAAAAAAGTTTTTAATGATCTGATAATTATTAATTCTAGTGAAGATGTCAAGACAGAAATCATACGTGAGCTGTCACTGTCATGTGTGAATTAGACCAAGAATTCAAATAACCATGTCTCTCGGTAAGGATACATTTTTTGACCAATCGAAACAATTTCTATGGCGGTCGATACGATATGATCAGATGCCTGTACCACTTCAATGAATGTTCAATGGTATCATGTGCGATATTCATGAGGTTGAAATATTTCAAAACATATAAATGAATACTGTATTTTCAATATCTACAATATTTATCAGTATCCTGTATGCAGGCGGGGACAAGCTTCCTATCAAAATGAAAGTCACTTAAATTCTCACACGGTTCTGTAGTTATTCACATTTCCACGTAGAATTTTGATACAGCGTTCATTTTCTGACAGCCAAGTCGAATTTTGTTTCTGTTTGTTTGACAACAAGACAATGAAAGTATACTTGGTGCAAGACACTAAAGTGTCTCTGAATATAAAGAAAACACTGTTAAAGTATTCGAAGCAATAAAAAGAACCATTCGAATTCTTGGTGAAGGAACAATTTGAATTTATGGTGGCGGAATATCATTCACCATTTTGTTCGAAAAAAAAACGCTCATCCTGGAAATCCTGAGCACGATATTTTGAGATAGAAGTTGAAATGGCGACATTGTTTTGTTCATTGTTTTGTTCATTGAAAAAATAGCTTCCAGTCGGAAGGAATAAAATTGTGGTTTGGTGGCCAAAGACACAACAGGCTGGGGTGATTCTAAGGCTCAGTGCTATTCAAAGACAAGCGTGCCTGAGTGCCACTGGTGCAATGAAAACCACTCCAACAGCCGCTTTAGAGGTCCTCTTGAACCTACCACCACTACAAATATATATCCAAGGCGAAGCCAGAGCAGTCGTGAGTAGATTGTCAAGGGGTCAAGCACCCATAAGCAACGCGCACGGTAAAGACTATAGGAAGCTATATGAAGAGTTGGAAAGCGACCCCATCATGGGGATGCCAATGGATGGCATAATTCCAAAATATAGCTTTGAAAAAACTTTTAAAATAAGTATAACGGACAGAGAGGCATGGAAGGAAGGACCTCCTATCAATGCAGACATTGCTGTCTATACGGACGGCTCCAAAACTGAGGAAGGATCAGGAGCTGGTATTTATGGGGCCAAGCCAAAGACAAGAATCTCACTGAGCTTAGGCAAATACGCGATGGCGTTTCAGGCAGAAATCATTGCAATACATCATTGCGTGAAAGAATTGATAAGGCAAGAGTTTAAAGGCAAAACCATTGCAATCTATTCAGATAGCAAGGTGGCAATCAAAGCAGTCAACTCTATGCAAGTTAACGCAAAACTAGTATGGGGCTGCTTAAAAACCCTAAAGGCACTGGGCAGTCAGAACAGATTGACTCTAGCATGGGTACCAGCACATACAGGGCACGAGGGCAATGAAGAGGCAGACTCATTTGCCCGAGCAGGAGCAAACAAAGCTCTTAATGGCCCAGAACCCTTCTGTGGTATTGCAAATGAAGCTATACAAAAGACTAGTATCAAATCATGGATGCAAACCAAATCTCAAGAATGGTGGAACAACTCGCCAGGAATGAGACAGGCAAAAGAGTTTATCAAAAAACCATCGCCAACATTCATAGAATATCTACTAAGCCAGAAACGAAGTTCAACTAGAATACTAGTGGGACTCCTCACAGGGCATTGTAGGCTCAACAAACACATGAGTACGATAGGTCTGACTGAAGAACTGCTGTGCAGGTTCTGTCAAGAAGAGGAAGAAACAGCAGTACACATACTTTGCCACTGTGAGGGCTTGTCAAGACTAAGGTTCCTCACGCTGGGTGAGGAAAAACCAGGAGCCCAGAGATACACAGGAGATCTGAAAGCTAGCCTATGGAGTCTCATAGAGAAGGTGGGACTAGCCGAAGAACTCTAATTGATTTTGATGGCAGACACATTAGATCTGAAAAGGTCGCAGTGTGGAGGCAGATAGCCCGAAGGCCCCATTCCAAATCTAATCTAATGATTGAAAATAACCCTCTTCATATGGCGAACGGTCTCACACATGACTCAGTATATCAAATTGCACTTCCTCTCATCTATTGATTCCTTCATAACCGTTTATTTGATACTTCAAAAGTGCTACAAATCGAGAGAGTACCAAATAACCATTTTTCGCGTTGTGACGTCTTTTGTATTTTCTTGAGGCTGCCTCTGACGACCCAAAGAGGATGCGTTGAACAAAACCACAGACACAAGACTCGAACTTGGGAGAAAAATGTCTACAAAACAAACTATAGAAGAAGAAAAAGATTAACCTCGAAATCTAGTTCATAGTTCATTATTTCATTTCTATTTCAGTGATCTATCAGTGTCATATTAGTGATATTCTTTCAAACTGAATTAACTGAAATATTTCACTTGAACTGAACTGAATCAGTTAATATGCGTTCTTTCAAATGACGTTCATTGCATGTCAACTGATTCAGTTCAGTTCAAGTGAAATGTGTCAGTACGTTCAGAACGAAAGAATATCACTATTATAGTTTTTATTGAGTGACAAATGCAATGACATATGATGACAAGACCAAGTGACAAGACGAATTACCCGATGAGAATGTCCGTCCGAAGTGTATGACGCGGTGTGACGCACCTTGTATTCGTCCAATGAAATGCCATCAATATTTCGCGCGCATTCGAGCTATCGTTTGAATTTAGGTTCAATTTAATAATTTTTTTCTGGGTCAACCGCAATCGTAAGGAAATTGAAAAAATGCTGAATTCAGTATGTGTTCTAAATCGTGAAAAAAAAAATCAAAAAATCATGGTGAAATTCTCTATTTTTAATATTATGTGGTAATTTATGGAATTCAGCTAGAGCAGCGTCAGTAAATTTTTTTGGCCAATTATAGAGGTAGCAGAACCAAGATGAAATAAGTTCAATTGTCTCGTGTGATGACCATGAATTACTGAGTTTTTATCAAAACAAAATTGGATTTCAGACTTTTCTTTATGATATATAAAACTTATGAGAATCTATTTTATAAAATTCATTCAATTTTTCCTGTCATCGCATACAGATCTTTTGCTGGAATATGAAATGAAAGGAGATTCAATACTCTTAGAGATTTCTTGAAAAGTGCAGATATTTTACTGAAGTAATTTTTTGAACAAGATCCCCAAACGTTTATAATATAGGAAATTTTTTTCTGGCTGTTTTTTGAGTCGAATTCCCTTGAGGCAACAAAACTCAAATTATAAATGTCAAGTTGATTTCGACGCAAAATATGCTTACTTAAGTGTAATTCGTTGAGACAATTTTATGAATGCGGAAATCATATTATTGTTGATGAGTTTTCAAATTTTTCCACATTAAATCGCTACTTTTCCACAGATTAGATATAATTCTGATAGCGCCAGATTGAGGAATATTGACATAAACGCCGTGAAAGATTTGTTCACAATTCTGGTTGTCTTGGTTTCAAAAGCCAGGTTCCGTTTTGTCATATATAATACCACAGCTTGTTGCCTAGTAATTTCGTGAATGACATTGTTATCAAAACTACGGGCCGTAGGCGAGTAGTTTTGGATCAATGTCATGAGCGAAATTAGAGCAGCAAGCTGGAGTATGTCAATCGACGAATATTTCCTGGAAAAATAGTATCACGAGTTGTATTCGTATGACTATTTCATGATTGAATGAAACAATATAGGTATATAAGAAATAGGAAACATAATTTAAGAATATTCCAACTCGAACTGCGAAGAAGAACATAATGATAGTAATGAAATACAGAATTTACTTTTTTAGAACCTACTTTTATAGTTATTCACAAAGTGGAATGTACAATTTTGATAAACAGTATTTTTTTCATTATCTTGGAGATGGTTGCTTTCAAAAGAGTATATACAATTACTATCCAATTCAAACAAAATAAATTGAGTTTATGTGACATGGAATAATAATAAAAAAAGATATCGTCGCCGAGGGCTCGAACCATCGACCTTCGTATGATGTAGCTCAACTGATAGGGTTGTTGCGCGAAGATACGAAGGTCGACGGCGACGATATCTCTTTTTCTTTAATTATTTCATGTCACATAAATTCAATTTATTTTGTTTGAATTGGATAGCAATTGTATACACTCTTTTGAGAGCAACCATCTCCAAGATAATAAAAAAAATACCGTTTATCAAAATTGTACATTTCACTTTGTGAATAACTATAAGTAGGTAGTTAATTTCTGAAAAATTGAATTCTGTATTTCATTACTATCATCATGTTCTTCTCCGCAGTTCGAGTTGGAATATACTTAAATTATGTTGCCTATTTCTTATATGTATTGTCTCATTCAATCATGAAATAGTCATACGAATACAACTCGTGATACTATTTTTCCTGGAAATATTCGTCGATTGACATACTCCAGCTTGCTGCTCTAATTTCGCTCATGACATTGATCCAAAACTACTCGCCTACGGCTCGTAGTTTTGATAACAATCTCATTCACGAAATTACTAGGCAACAAGCTGTCGTAACAATCACCGAATATTCCCGGCAAAATATTATCACTTGTGGTATTACATATGATAAAAAAGGTGCATCCTTTTTTATCGATGTCAAAATGACTCACGCCGTCGCCAAATAGGCGTTTCCGTTTAGGAGTTGATTCATCGCTAGAAAACTCAGGGCAGAGTTTTCTCGTTGTCATAATAACAAAATCATAGCGGCTTATGAGATTTTGTATGTCTACATGAATTGAATTGTCGCTGAAAAACAAAGGATGAAGTTTTTTCACTGTCATAATGAGAAAATCACAGCAGCTCATGGGATTTTTCATACATCATGAATTAAATTGTCAGCAATAACCATACCTACATATTTTTTGTTGTTCTCGGGAAGACTGTACTTCTTGGACGCCGGCCTTCTGCAGATCGGTGTGTGGTTCCAAGACTTCTGCACGTTCAGCGTCATCCGCAACCTGCCCTTCAGACAGACAGCTGTCAAACCGACAGTTTACCCCCTCCCGGTGACCAACCTCATCGACGAGGAGGATATCTTGAGGGAACAAGAGGACAAGGCGTTGAGAGGCATCGGCGAGAGTTGCCTCTGCTTGAACGGAGGCACTGTGACTTCTTTTGGTAGTTCCGCATATTCCAAATTGAGTGTGAATTAAAAGCGTTTGTACAAGTGTATGTATACATATTATTCAACAGTAAAGACGGTTTCGTGTATTCCAAAATGAGTGTTTGAATCACAAACGTTTATTTATTGCGTGTATATGTCTGCGTCAATTGGTGAAATCCGTCATTCCCTGAAATGCCAGCGATGCTTCGTATAGTGCATGATTTCGATGATTCCGAGTGACTTCGGGAAATGGAACGATTCTGCCGTTGATAATTATCACTTCCCATTGTCTCGTAAAATTCAAATCAGTAGGTATAAGTTCTGAAGCACAGCACAATATGTCACATGATGTCACTTAGATCTAAAAACTTCACAAACGATAAGATTCCACACAAAATTCTCAAACACACAACATGTTTTGCTAACACAGTAGCTTATTCATCAGGTGATATACTGGTACAATGGACTGAACCTTGGCTTGCTCAACTTTTATATAGCCTACTTTCCCAACTTGGAGGATTACTAAGCTGTGGACAGGTTCGATAAACCTTCATTTTTGGAAAATAAGCACAATATCTACATTAACCTCTTCGGTTCAGGCGTATCCTATACAGGGTGTTCATTTCAGGACTTCCCACCCTAATTTTCTCGAAATGTGTGTATGTTTTTGAAAAATCCCGAGACACGTCAACTACATTTTCGAGGGGGACATGGTTCTAAAATATTTTCAGCCCCGCGGCGTTGCCGCTTCTAACGAAAAGAAGCAACAACTTTGTTATTTCAAATGGAACACCCTGTATTTTATTGCATTTTTAGATTCTTCCTGAAAATCTGATTTCATCAATGTATCATACTTGGGGTCTAGCAGGAATGATTACAGAGATATAGGGTGTTCAAAATCGAGATTTTACAACTTTAGGATTTTTTTGAGTCGAAACTATTCATTATTGGTCAAAACGGCTTTCATGTCCCTATCTCAACTTTTGATTTACTATCTACTGACATTTATTTGAAACAAATACAGGGTGATAAAAAGTCTGAATCTTGAACCACCCTGTATTTGTTTCAAATAAATGTCAGTAGATAGTAAATCAAAAGTTGAGATAGGGACATGAAAGCCGTTTTGACCAATAATGAATAGTTTCGACTCAAAAAAATCCTAAAGTTGTAAAATCTCGATTTTGAACACCCTATATCTCTGTAATCATACCTGCTAGACCCCAAGTGTGATACATTGAAGAAATCAACTTTACAGGGAGAATCTAAAAATGCAATGAAATACAGGGTGTTCCATTTGAAATAACAAAGTTGTTGCTTCTTTTCGTTAGAAGCGGCAACGCCGCGGGGCTGAAAATATTTTAGAACCATGTCCCCCTCGAAAATGTAGTTGACGTGTCTCGGGATCAGTTCTAAAATTTTTAACGTCGCTACAATGATGATACCGTCCGTATCATGTTTGATAGGTGCGTCTGAAATACGTGTTGCTCGCCTTACGATATTCGTGCACTTTTCGGTATGTTCTAGATTGATTTATGGTCAGTCGTTGAGCACATCCTTGTTCAGACAATCAACGAAACATTGCCAATTATAATTTTAATTTCAATGATTCAGATGTCGAAGTAACCCTGCTTCGCTAAAATAACTCTGGTTTCCAAAAAAGAGATCATGGATTACTAAGATTTCGAATTTGCATTGGCAAATGCGATGATCTATCTAGATGAGGATAAAAACCTGAGGAACGGTGATGACCAAGCAGATCGTGACTGCTCTGATGCGACATAAGGCTGGGTCAGCCTACTCCTGGTAAAAACTTGAGGACAGAACGTGCTCTTCATTTGCTAGAATTCATGAGGGGCAAAAATTGAGACCATGGTGTCGCAAGCCAGGATGCAACAAGCTAACTTTCGCACGATGTGGTGCTTGTAAGATTTTTATGTGTTATTCTGTAGAAAGGAACTGCTTCGAAGATTTCCATAAATAAGAAAACTTCCTCATTGTAATAAATTATTCCACAATTTTGATACGTTTGATATAACAATGATACGTTATTTTTCAAAAAAAAATATTGGATATTTTGTAATTACAGCTACTCAGCGTCTTTTATTGAATATAAACTACTCAACACCAATTTCGTCGCACACCAAAATGTCGCCCCTGTTAAAATGTGAATAACTTTTTTCAGTTTAGAACAATTTGAATTTGGTTCACACTGTTCGATAGCCCAGTCCTTCAGCTATAATCTGGCACTTCGATGAAACATAAGGGTATTCACATAAAATCTCTACATGGTGTTTTCCGACACTGTGCAAAATTTCGGAATATTCAAAAGGCTCTCAAATGGTGAGAAAAATTGTTTTCTCAACTTCGACAACAGAAGCATGAAGATGATCTCATTACCTCGAGATATTTCGCGAATCAACTTCCTATCTCTCTTATTTACTGAGTGATCTCAAAAAATCAACTTTTTGGTTTTGCAGCCATAACTTTTTTCCACGTCAACCGATTTTGGAAATCTTAGGCTTATTTTGAAGATAAAACTTCAGATGAAGAGATCTGGATATCAGAATTTACTCAAAATGGCTTTCAAAGATCTAGAGTTTTCTTGAAAGTGACCCAAATCTGGAACGCCCTCCGAATCTCGGTTGGGAGGAGAATTGAATGAAAATCACCTTGTTCTCGGAAAACCAATTCATTCTGGATGCGTCCATATTTTCCTCGCTCTCAGTACTCATGAATGTGCGTGAGAAAACACAATTGAAACATGTTCTTGCAAAAACATCAGACCATTTCTCCTCTGTAGTGCATGGCCCGTAACCAACGTAACAAGAATCACAGTAAGTGACTGACAAGTCAGGTTAGACGTCGTTTTCGAATCTGCTAAACACGACAGTCCGATTCATTCAAAGGGCTTATCTCCGACACGAAATGTTTGGTTATTACTGTCGATTCGTTCCGCGCATTATTGCGACTGAAAACTTTACGTAATTGGCAAACTGTTTTCGTGAAACTTTCACCATTTTTGAAATGCGTTTTTACAATAAATAAACGTTGTTTGCTTGAATACTTCTCCATATTCTTAAATAGCATGTTATGTACGTGACAACTGTTAAAAAAATCACTTAATTGAAAAAATCAAAATCCGTTGCTCTTGTTGGTACACCATTTATGATAAGCCTCAGCTGGTCGGGTTTGTCAGTCACTCATTGTGATTCTTGTAACGTTGGTTACGTCGGGCCATGCATTACAGAGGAGAAATGATCTAATGTTTTTGCAAGAACATGTTTCAATTGTATTTTCTCACGCACAATTCTTGACTACTGCGAGCGAGGAAAATATGGACGCATCCAGAATGAATTGTTTTTCCGAGAACAAGTTGATTTTCATTCAATTCTCCTCCCAACCAAGATTCGAAGGGCGTTTCAGATTTGGGTCACTTTCAAGAAAACTCTAGATCTTTGATAGCCATCTTGAGTCAATTCTGATATTCAGATCTCTTCATCTGAAGTTTTATCTTCAAAATAAGCCTAAGATTTCCAAAATCGGTTAACGTGGAAAAAAGTTATGGCCGCAAAACCAAAAAGTTGATTTTTTGAGATCACTCAGTAAATAAGAGAGATAGGAAGTTGATTCGCGAAATATCTCGAGGTAATGAGATCATCTTCATGCTTCTGTTGTCGAAGTTGAGAAAACAATTTTTCTCACCATTTGAGAGCCTTTTGAATATTCCGAAATTTAGCACAGTGTCGGAAAACACAATGTAGAGATTTCATGTAAATACCCTTATGTTTCAATGGAAAACGAGATTATAGCTGAAGGACTGGGCTATCAAACAGTGTGAACCAAATTCAAATTGTTCTTAACTGAAAAAAGTTATTCACATTATAACAGGGGCGACATTTCGGTGTGCGACGAAATTAGTGTTGAGTAGTTTATATAAATAACAAAAAATGATTTTCATCAAGATTATTTAGTGGTGGGTCCGAAGAGGTTAAAATACAGTGTACCGGATTAACTTGAAAAGGTTGATAGCAAATACATATTATTATACCTACTATGAAAACAAATTCAACAGTGGTGCACTATTGAGGTCTGAAGGTGGATCCATATGCAACATCACTTAATTTATCTTAACTTAATTTAATAAGATGCAGTATACAAAAATGGAACGAGCTGTCAAGCAATCACTTAACTTATCTTAATTTATCTTATCAAGTTCGTCCAATTTCATCTTCCTCTTAAGAATCTTCAGTAATTTCGCAAGTGCGCATGTGCAAGAGCACAGAATCATGAAACACGAGAAGAACGAAGACTACTGACAGCAGTGACAGGAAAAACAAATATAACCCTACTTTGTTTTCTACGTTATAAACTGTGGAACAACGATTCTCAAGTTGGATTTTATTATCGGATTTCTTCAAAAAAAAAAATGGATGATGCAGTACTCATAGATCTTGTGAGGAAATTCACTTTTATTCATGATAAAAGTCATAAAGACTTTAAAAATAAATTATGCAGAGAAAACGCCTGGACAACCATAGGGGATCGAGGTGTTCTGGATGTTTCTGGTAAAAATTCGATGTGTTTCATCTATTCTAAGTATCTTATGAAAACGAAACAAATGGAACAATGGTGAATTGACAAGTGATAGAATGTCAATGTCATTCTATCAATGTCAATTTGAAGATATGCGCATGCGTATTGGGCACTAACTTATGTGTAACATAAACTAGACATTTTTTCCTAAGTTTAATTCATAAGTTAAATCAAATTAAGATAAATTAAGTGATGTTGCATGAATCCACCTTAACTGGTCTTTAAGTGAAATGTCAGAATTTTTTAGTTTGTTGATTTCTAATGATTCAAAATGATTGAGTTTCCTTCCTTTATTTTCTACGTGTAGAATTTCCAATTTATCATCAAAACTATGGTTTTCTTCTTTCATTTCTTCATTTTCTACGTGTAGGAATTTAGAAATTATCATCAAGACTATGGTTTTCTTAAGTAAGTATGAAAACGCCCTGTATACTATATACCTGAAAAAATGTCAGATCTTGATACATTCAAGGGTTAAATGAAGCACGATGTTCTTTGAACATTATAGGGATTCCCTTTCGTGCGCTCCA